GATAACAACTCAGTGAACGTGAATGATTCGAAAAGGCACAGTGGGTGCTTTAGACTCCGTACTCACAGGGACTAATCATTGACAGAACATTTTTCTGATAAGTTTCTGTTTTTGATGTTACGTGCCTCATTTTATGATTCGTACTTTGATTAAAACCTCATTTTTGCTAATTATCAATTTCCTTTGCCAAAATTATTACGTGCCATTTTATCATGATTTCATCTTATTGTTTAACTGTCTTGGTTGGGATTGTGATTTCTACAATGGGGCCTTTAAATGGGTGAGTTGTTTTGTTAATGGAATAAACTACTGATAACTTAACCCTTTTGAATTGTATCCAGATGAATAAGTAATCTCATTTTGATCGAGAAACACACGCATCTATGTTAACCAATCAGAGAGCCAGAGCGGCTAACTAATCGGTGTTGTAAATAACCCGGTTTTCGAAGAAAATCAAGTCTGACTGCTGCATCATTGCCACCTAAATGGTGTTACACCCTTTTGCCGGTGTCATTGTGTTAATTTTCATTCGTGGATTGGCAGGTACGAGCAAACATTACATAAGGATGCTTTTAAAATACACCATGTTTACCATTTCTTTGTGACTTTCTAGAGTGCCGCATTCGTTTACTTTTAAACTGTATGTGGTTGAAAACTAACCCTGCAAGGTTTTTCATTACACTTTTGTTGAAACACCCTTTTCCGTCTATCGAAAATATCTTTTAATTTCTACTTAGTAAGTGTTATAAACCTGCCATAATCTTAAGCTGTTTAAGTTTGTAAGTTAACGATTAGATCCTGCAAGTCTTTCATTTGGTATCTTTATGTATTCCTTCATTGTGAGTTTGGAGCTGAATACCGAAGAAATATGATTAATGTTGGGAGCAGGGCAGATAGCATGACTTCCAAATTTTGTTTCATTAAATCAAAAGGTGTTACGAATTCAAGCCCATTTGGTTTTTTGTCCGTAAATCAATGTTTAAGGATTAATCACCTGCTTTATGTTTATTTAGGATCCGGAAGATGTGACTAATAAAGAATTTGCGCTTCAGTAGAAAATAAGGCTGAATAGTTTAAAATAAATAAAACCTCTGGAGCTACACCATTTTTTTTATTTTCTTCCCTTTAGATTGCAGAAATACGAAAATGGATTTGTTTGAGCATTTGTTAACCCCACAGAGATACAATAGATTACTTCGACCGGAGCCTTCATCGAAGGGTCCAACTACAGTACACCTCGGGCTACGACTTTCACAGTTTATCAACGTGGTAATGTCCTGTTTATACAGTCAGAGCCCTGTGGTTGTGATTTATTGGATTTTACCTTGTATTTCTCGGCCTTTATTGTGTAGTCATGGTCAATTTAATCAAGGTATATGCAATACGGCAATATTTATTTGCTCAAGCACTGTGCTTGCAGCTCTTGACAAAGCGTAGACTGTAGGACGTCGGTACTAATAGCAGGGAGATCTTTAATAACGATTCGAAGAAAAACGAAAGTGTTACTAGATACTGTTTTAATGCCAAATCCATTCATAACACACTGTAAACTTTACGGAGAATCTCTTGAAGTATGAATGTTGTTGGGACTCGAACCACGTACACTCTGCAACTTCACTTCGATTGGTTACATGTTCAAGGTTACTGGAAGACTCACGATTTCAAAGAAAAGGTAACCACAACAGTCAGTGTGAAGAGAATTCCAATCAAAAGTCTTGGAAAAAAAATTAAATAAACCCGAGTTCTTTTGTTCAATCTTATGTTTGAATCTTAATGTTTGTTACACTATGACCTAATATAAGCACGTTCGACCGCATGTTATTCCCAAATGTCTTGCAGTCAAGTCTTTCACCAGTGAACTGTTTATTAAACATAATTTTTTTAGTTTAATAGACGTCCGTGAATTACCTTGACTGACGTTACTGCCACATAATCATAAACTCTTTGAACCAGGCTTTGTCAGGGTTAATTTTCGAAGCCTTGGCAAAGTTAGAAGATTATTCTATGGTTAGTTAGGGCTAACTTGTGGTATTTTCAACAGATACCCCTGTTTGCATCTGGGTTCCAAAAAATATTGGTCGTTTTAGCTCGAAAGATCCTTCCCGAGTCACGTACGTTAATTTTCCTTTCATAGATAAACCGCATTTGCCAGATGCTATCAACTTGACTAAGTGGCTGATTCAAAATGCTATTCGCTCTGTTTAGTAGTGGTCAATGCTACTCAATCCAACCTATGGCTGTTTGGAATAGCTTTACACGCAAATTGGCCCGGTATGTCGCATTATGGGGAATTTTTACTGATTCAAGCATTCTAAAACCGAATGCTGGAATCTGGGTGGTTAGACAACAGCAACTAAATGGATAAAGCAATCCAATACCAAGGACACAGCACATGGAACATTGCTTGTTGATTTGATGCTAAAGTTTCCTCCAGGGAATTAACATTTTTCTATAAAGTATTATAAAAAAATACCAGACTGTATGTTGTTCCCATTGTTAGGGTGAGACAACTAGAGTTATAAAGGTATTTATAGACATATTAGTCTTACGTCAATGCGAAACTGCGTCAAATCGCGTACCTTCATTAGCCCCACCCCAATATAATCAAGGTCAAAACATAGAGTCTGATAAAGTCTCAGGATTCTACAAGGTAAGTTTAGGCTCATTATAAAAGTGTTGTTATTCTGATCTGACTGACAGCAATGATCAGGCATGTGTACGCATGTGTCACAAAGTAGCTGCACAAACGAAAGGCGTTTCGAACGTTTTGCATTGGATTAGCGATATGGTATAGTATCTGGAATTCCATGTGAACACACCAGAGGCGCTTTCATGCAAACTTCGGGGAGCAAGTCCGTAGACATCAGTGCCACCGCGGAGTTCTGATAAGCAGTAAAGGCGATTCTGTTGTATTTAGGATGAACGAAAAGAGGTGATTAAGACTCAAGCATGGGTTGAGCAGGAATGGAATGACCCGCAATTGGTGTGGGACCCAGCAGAATTCGACGGTATCTTGTCAATTCATGTGCCAGCTGAAGATATTTGGAGACCCGATATCGTACTCTATAACAAGTGAGCCAAAAACTGCCGTTTTTTATCAATGCCGGATAATTTACTAAAAACCTTAGTTGAAATAAGGCGCAGTCTGTCACGACATCCTACTATTAAATTAAAAAGTTCATTATGCAACACTGTCATGGATGCTAATTTTATAGGTCATTTCAAACCAAATTAGCTAATTTGAAATGCCATTTTCCACTAAAAATGACCATTTTATCCAGACAGTTAAGCTCACGTTTTGATTGCAAGCATTCAACATTTACGCAACTGTGGTTCTAGACTGACACGTTTTGCAGAGACGCTCAAAAACAAACAATTGTGAATCTGAAATGCGAATTTGTTTTCACGCCGTGAATCGTAGCGAAATGAATCTTAAGAGGAGTCCAGTTGACATTTAGAGTATTTGAATAGCAAAGGATAGTTACCTGTCGTTGACTAAGAAAGTCATCTTTCAAACATCCACCAGCGCTCAAAGAATTTTATTAACTGTAAACTGAAAAAAATGTGGAAACTGTTCTAGCTTGTTTCCATATAGGTGTAAAATGGGACAATCAGAATAACCAATGTCTAGAAAACATTTAAAACATAAAACTTAAGGGTTTGTAAAGTCCAAACAAAAAGTTCGACATTTATCAATAAAATTGCTAGTAAACTAGATCTTGTGAAAAGTATCACTAAAAGATAGTCCAATTAATGATTAGTCCCTGTGAGTACGGAGTCTAAAGCACCCACTGTGCCTTTTCGAATCATTCACGTTCACTGAGTTGTTATCTGTAAGGAGGACGCGACTAAAATGGCTAATTTGTATTTATTTTGAGGTCAGGGCCACTTTGTGGGATCGCACGAAACGAGATTCCCTCCACATCCAAGTTCCATGTTTAGACATACCAATTTTGTTAATTGCTACTTGCGTATTTTGATTTCTGTACAGAGGTACAGTCTTGAAGTTCACTGATGTTCAGACCATGCTTAAAATTACGGGCTTTTTAAGTAAAATCATTACGCTGTTCCCGCCGTACAGGAACCTCATGATGTCTCGACACCTTGATCAGTACAGAACAACAAGTTGCTCCTTCTCCCAACCACCTAGTGACCCATTGTTCGAAATGTAGAACAGCCACGAGTGTGGTGCTGATAACAGCCTCCAACGAGCGATTCCGAAGTAGTAATGACGACCACAACCTAAGAGCAATTTTGTGCAAACCTTTGACTGTGACCACGAGGCAGAGCGTCAGACAGCCAAAGCATACCAGCACAAAGTTCATTGCATGCACTTTGTCAGCATTTCGGCAGATTGTACGTTAGTCCAAATTTTAAAGAATGTTGCTAGCATTTCGAATTCCCGTGGTGTTACTGCGCTATTCGCATGTCTACAGTAAGTAATCAAGTTGCATTTTCTACGATGACTTGTGTTTTCGCATTACTCCTCAATTTAGCGTCGATGGGAAATACGAAATAACAACACTAACCCGAGCAGAGGTCTTCTTCAATGGAACCGTGCGGTGGATGCCACCTGCACTCTACTTGAGTTTCTGTCGCATTGACATGGAATACTTTCCTTACGACGAACAAACTTGTTCTATGAGATTTGGATCTTGGACATATGATGGCAGTAAAGGTAGGTGTCTTGGATACAGACTTTTTTAAATGAAGGATTTTATGCTGTCCTTTAAATGTTCTTTGGTGAACATTCATCGCAGCCGTAATGTTGATTGGATTTATTGGTGCTTTCTCAAACGTTTCCCAGTAGAATTGGATAAATGTAGACCTCCGTAAACCAAACCTTCGGCACAATTTGTTGTCTGCTTAATTAAATATTGTCAAAACATTCTATATGTTAAAAGTATAACTGAGGACAACGCTCAATGGCTTGTTATGGGTGTAAGCATGGGAGCAGTACATACCTCAAGATGCACAAAACATACCTTATTTTAATGTTCGGATGGAAAAGTTGCGTAAAGTGGTGGTTTAAATCTGCTCCTGCATTATGAACCACAAGATGTTAGCATACAATTTTGGCAACAGGGCTCAAATTTCTTAGGTTCAAAATCGTCGCAAACAAATTGCCGCGAATTTTGGCGTTACCCAGTAATTACTGCGATGCATGTCTCAAAACACTTTCCTACTTCTTCACGTATTTGAATTATGTGCTGCTCCAGGTGCCATCACTGTTTTCGCGTCAGGAGTTTGATTTCTTAAAACCCAGTCTCATTCTATCCTAGTGGAATTACGCCATCACCTTCAGAAATATGCTCCTGAGTTGTCTCGTCCCTTGCACATCGACTATGCAGCTGATTTGTACAACTTTGGTAGTACTGTGGAGTACGATATCGTCTCCGTCTCAGCCATTTGTCAGGATCAGGACTACAAGCACTCCCTCCACCCAGAGGTGACATTCTATTTGCGCATGCGTCGTCGCACTATTTTCTATACGTTCAACCTCATGCTGCCCTGTGTGGCCATCACCACCCTCGCTGTCGTAACGTTCTACTTGCCTCCGGAGTGCCGAGAGAAAATCTCCCTCTCCATAACCATATTTCTCTCTCTCTCACTCTTCTTCCTGCTCATATCGGAGACCACCCCGCCCACTAGTTTGGCGGTGCCTCTCATTGGGAAATATCTACTCTTTACGATAGTTCTTATAACATCGTCAATAATGGTCACGGTGATGGTGCTGAACATTCACTTCCGGTCTGACGAGACGCACACCATGGATTTATGGACAAGACGAGTTTTCCTGGAAATTCTTCCGCCCCTATTGGGCCTTCATGCGCCGAAGCAACGGCGGCCGCCAGAAAGTCACAAGGTGAGAAAAGTTAGAAGCCGAGTTTTCAACTTCAATGGGACTTTCTTTCGGATAATTTTATGCCCTTTCATCGCATTATTCTGTTTTGCACCAAAAAAGCAAATGACGAAGCATTTTAAAATTGGGTTCGAAGTAGACTTGCTGTTGCATTGGTGTGCAGTTTAGGTATTGTTCGACGATCATACTTCCGGCTGTGACCCAGAATTTTAATTTCATCTCAATTGGGTTAAACACGCATGAACAAGGTACGGAGGCGCCAACATGCAAACTAACATCATAGTAAAGAACAGCAAATAGACTTCCTGGCACTGTTATAAGGGGCCTTGCAATAGAGGGAAAGCAGAACAGAGCCCAGATGATGCCTACCGTCACACCAACAAGACCAATCCCTGACTAAGGCATAGGTATTTGCCACAAAACGCTTCATACGATTTGACAAAAAAGTAGCTCTTGGTAAGTGAATTATTTTGCCTTGTTTGACCAATTAAATTGAATTCCCTTGATCAAGTAAGCAGCGTGGAAGCTTTGTTTTGTGTGTAAGAAAACAGACAATCCGAATTAATGGTTCAACGGTACTTAGGTAAATTGGATTTTGACTTAAATTAATCAACCACTGAGGCGTGTAAGTTTAATTTAGCCGAACAATTATCTCTTAATTGCAACGAGAAAGCTTCACTTGACACACCACATCTCGAAATAGTGAATTTTTTTATAAATTCCCATCGCTGGCCCTTGTGGAAGTCAACACGTTGGGTCAACGACGAAGACGGTATGGTCTTCGCTCGAAAATAGTTGTAAAAGTATGTACTCATGAAAACCTGCTCACTTAAATATTTTGGTCCAGGTACCAAGGTACATGGGCACCCGAAGACGCCATTTTGGGCGAAAATTCGGTTTCATTAGCACTTCGATTGTTAACTTGAACTTTGCCTCACATAGCGTGCATGCATTCGAAATATGGTTGTGTTGGGGTCATTTAAATAGCCAAGCGATTCGGAGGTCGTCCATTTTAGAGCCCTCAAATTTCCTCGAACATGATGTTGGATTTATCAAAGCCAAACAACCTAGTTTCAAAAATAAAAGAGAATTTCACTTAAGTCGGTCTTCACCGCGAGTCGATAAACAAACTATTCTAAATTCCCCTTTCTAAAACCCCCAAACCAAGTTTTCATTTATTCGACACATTGACAATCGCGATGCGATGTTGAAATGTGATAGTTCCATGATTCATCTGTTGGCAACTCCTAAATCAAGTGCACTCCACCGTTTTTCGAAGAAAGAGTGCATCTAAAGTCAGTTGGGAGGGTCATTGCCTTGATTTGATTAGTGCAAATTCGGTGCCTGGTAAAGCACACACTTTACACAAGCCCTTTCAATGATAATTTGATTACCCTTTTGAGAGTTTTCAACGATGACATCTTGATTTCAGACCAGTCGACCCTACTGCAATCTTTGGTGTTCGGATTGCCAGCTCTTACTACTGGTGTTCTTCAAGCAGGTCGAAACACTGCAGGCTCGTGGGGTGACAGCTAGTGAAGACCCTAGATTAACAAAGCATGAATTTCATTGAGGTGATTAAACTAGAAACACTTTAACTGGAAGCCTCGTCCACTTATGTAACATACGTATGGAGGTGGTAGACTAAGAAGTATTTTGTCAGCACGATGCATAAATGTGCGTTTTCGGTGTAATACTGATACAAATGAGGATTCACGGTATGTGCTGTAGGTGTGCCAAGCTTTCGAACCCACTCGGTCCACGTCGACGTAAAATGTGGCAAGTGCACGTCACCTCTGTTGAGGATTGTCCTTGTGGTTACAATCACGCCGATACATGCTCAAGGTTTCGATTTTGCATCCCCGGTGTTGAACTCGATAATCGATTGGTGGGAGGCTTTTGTCTTGCATGGGCTGCAATTAGCACCCTCGTTGAGTGCATTTTATGATTGTTTTGTTGATGTTGGCGCATGATTCGGTTGGCTAGGTGCGAGTCGACACACTTGCTGGTCGAATTGAAAACGAATTGCCAGACATTTTGACAAGACACATACCATCGAGGTGTCCCTGCGATATTTCTTTTGTTCATTCAAATTCGAGTTTGAGGCCATAAGAGGATACGCAAGTTTTTATGCTGTTCACGCTCAGAAGATGTGCCCATTGACTATTACCTTTGAGTTTAAGTAGCTACCAACGGGCTGTAGGTTTTTATTCTAGAATAAATTGCCTCCTGACACATAATTCAACTCATTTAGGCCAACTGTCCGTCAGGGGCGAAGAGAATGGCAGGCTCTGAAAGGACACTTTCAAACAACGGTATTCGTCGTAGACAGGTGCGTAGAGCACAGATTGACGGTGAGAATGAGGAAGAGGTGGCGGCGGTAGCCTCTAACCTCTTGGCCGGCGAAATCACCCACCGAATCGAGGAGAACCATGGCACCAGAACGCAAGTTCGAGTTAGCAGCAAGTTGTATCAAGTCGCCGAGGGATCTAGGTTCATTGAACAACGCCTGAATGTCACCAAAACTGAAAATGATGTGAGTCGTGTTCAATAAGAATTCTGTTCCTTACCATGTTGCTTAACTAGTAGTTGTGATCTCCGTGCGTCACAATTTGGCGATCATGTGACCCTGGAAATGTGGGTGTTAGTAGTGGACGAGATTGACTAGATAATCCGCAAATCACTTTCCTCGGTGGCATGGATCTTCTAACCGACAATGCCTTATAAAATGGCATATTTTGCTGAACAATGAAATATCCAATGGTCTTGCAAATCTGAAGAATAAATCACCTACTGAGAAACGTTACATGCAACTTTGTGACGAAACTGTAGCCCAGAGAGATTTCAGAAACGAGTTGCAATGCGGATATCAATCTAAACAGTTTGTGGAACTCACTTGATTTTTGCGGTGCATGTAGCGCTCTTCTGGTATTCACGACACTTGCATCAAACTAGCACGGAGTGAGTCAAATTAAGTTCAGAATTACATGGCGGTGGTCCAGTGATAGGACCATTGGCGTACAGGGAATCTGTTCGCCGCAAAGTGTGTGGTTAAGGAGACCTTCGTTTATTCGCGATTTTAAGGGCACCCGTCTTCTCTAAACGCCTTGATGGGGATTTAATTGCTTACGCCAAACAAAAATCCTGTAGTCTGCACGACGTTATCCATAGAAGTTTCCTGAAAAGTAATTGTACACGTCAACTATATTATTGTACTTCGCGTCTCTAAGTAACGCGCTCGTTTGCTGCCACTTTGCTTTAGGTGATGGAATTGTCCGATTCAACTTGCCTTGAAGGTTATTTATCGGGTGGGGAGGTCAAGCAGATCTGTTGCATCTATTTCCACCATGCTTTAACTAAAATTGAAATTGCAAACCTCACGCTAACACCACTTTTTTTTCTTACGACTTAACAGAACATCGAATCCATTTCAAGTTTTCTGTAAGTGTACTGAGGTGTGCATCCCACTCAAGGTAATTCGGTTTGCTTGCTAACGTAATTTGTGAATCATCGAACTGATATTAAGAAGACACCAAAAGGAAGTTGGTTTTACGCAATATATGTGAGTTGAAAATTGTCTCATTTGTAATTGTATTCTCGTTGGATGGAAACTAACTTCACAGTTTTGGTAAAATTTTATACTTGAGTTTGTGCAAGCAAATTTCTGAAGATAAGTGGAATGAAAATTGAGCATCCTTAAGAAATCAACAGTCACACTTGAGCTGAAATCAAGAGACTAATTTCCAATCAGAGCAGAAAATGCAACCCAGAACGCAAGAGAAGCACACTATCTAAAAACTCTGAGTTGCACTGAAATATGGAAAGAGAAGTTGAGAAGAATTGAAACTGACGTGTAACAATAACGTACGATGTCGCAAAGGCCATGTTGCCCTGTGAAATTAACACACTCGGGCGATGAGGACGCCGTTGGACAGACACCTTGGCGATTGTTTAACGTTTGTAATTACCGGGATCAGATCCTGTAGAGTCATGGCACGACCAGTAGCTCACCTCTAGGTTAGCGGTTCCTTACATGCACAGTAGAGTGAATTGGGTCACAGAAAACACACGTGACCTCCCACTTGAGGTCAACACCCGCCAAGCGGCCTGGACACGAAGCTTCGTCGATCGTTTGAGAACAGGCGCGTGGTTTGAAGTACGCGATTTGACACGTGTTAACTGTTTAACCTATTTGTGACTTGATTAAGAATTCCTAGTTCATACATGAGCAGTTATGGTTAAGTAAGCTTCTAGCTTTTTCCGTGCGTTTGAAACATATTTTACGACAATTTTCCCGTAACTAGAGGGTGCACATCTGTTGGAATTAAGTATAATCTCATTGGTCTTTTTTCTTTTCAATGCAAACAAATATTTTGTAGTTGTCTCCAAATTACCAACGCTGATAAAACGCTGATTTGCGATTGTGACCACCATATCAATGTTCCTTTTTTAGATAAGAGAGGAGTGGAAATTTGTGGCTGTTGTTGTCGACAGGCTGTCTTTTTGGCTCTTCAGCTTGTTAGGACTGATTTGTAAGCTTGAAAACTTTAAATCTGGTGCATCCTTACATATTCGCTCTCCAACACTTTTGGCAAGTATTCATCTCCATTATTCCTAACTGTAGGTACTTTCAGCATAATATTTCGGTCTCCGACCTTCTTGGATACATCTGAGCCCCTCAGTCCCTCAAATCTTCCCATCGTGGCTAACCTCACCTCATTCATCGACTCAGCTATGCGCTTGCCCAACCAAACTGTTCGCATTCTTCTCCCAAAATATTAGCCAGGATTGTCGCATTGAACTTTCATGATGACAATGCAAGTAAAGGATTTATCAGATAAACAATGGGATCGTCGTCATTTATCACTGCTTTCCTGGACCCACCTCCCTTCCGACACCCACTACTCACCCAAAAATCCAAGTTTTTATTTTAGGCAAGCAAAAGAGTTATGCTGTACGCCTTCTTTCGTCTGCATAACACGCACCTTTCCGTTTTTACTGTTTTAAATGATTATTATGTGGAAATTCAGAGATTGATTAAATTAATTACACACACACTACTTCCATTAAATACTGTCGTCTCCATATTTTGCGGCTCTTTGCTCAACATTTGTGAAATCCTGGGATTCGTCAAATAAAATTGTTGCGATAACTTTCGCCGCATTTAC